AATTTAAAGAAACTCCAATGCTTATCCCTTCTAAGTCCTTAGGAGGTGGATACCTCGAGATCAAAATGTCAACTATTCACCCCCTGTATAGACTATGCACTAGGCTTGTGTAAACCTGAATTCGTCTCTCACAGCTGCTCCAAGCCTCTTAACACCATTTTCAAGATCATCCAGACAAGTAGTGGACACAAACGTTATCCTGAAGAACACCTTATCCAAACATGTTTCAACGTTAAACCAACTCCCTTTGGCGACAGCCACTCCATGGCTTGCCGCCCGCTCGTAAATTTTATCCTCAAGATTGAGTGACAGGTTTGCCCGCTTTTCTGAGTAGTCGGGATGTCTCGCCAAGTCAATCGTAATCCATAAGAACATTCCATGTGTAGGGGTGGTCCATGTGCATAAGCCCTTGGGCAGATGCTGGGAGCATGCAGCAATCATGATGTCCCTTCTTGACTTGTACTCTCCAGATAAATGGTTTAACCAATTTGCAAACCCCTCTTGTCCCCAGCTCTCAACGAACAATTTGTACAACATGACCTGGGATGGTCCGCTAGGAGGCGCTGGTCCAACCTCAGCAAAATTTTCGAAAATTTCGACTATTTGCTTGCTCGCCGTTAACCATCCACACCGAAGGCCGGGAGACAGTATCTTTGAGGTGGAGTCCACGCGAATAACTCGTCCGGATTTGTCTAGGGAGAGGTATGATGAGGGCAGTGATTTCCGCAGCTTTTCGAATGACGAGTAAGGAGGGTTGATATCCAGTGATGAGAAAGATCCGTCGAGTCGTAAGAAGAAGTACGGGTCATCCTCGAGAACCAGCAAGTCATGTCGTTCTGCAATTTGATAGATTGCCGCCTTTCGTGCCGTCGACTGGGTTATACCCGTTGGATTGTGTCCAGATGGGATAGTATATAGCACAAATGGCTTGCGGCTTCGTGATGTGTCCCAGTATCGTAGTTTGTTATCCAAATCCACTGGCAGGAGGCCCTCCTCATCCATCTCAATGCTTTGGATATTAAGACCATGAGCCTTCGCTGCCATAACTGTACCAGTGTATGTAGAAGCCTCTGCTAAGATCCAGTCCCCCCTGTTGCACAACATGCGTAAGACTATATCAATAGCAGATGTTGAGCCGCATGTAAGAGTTGTATCCCAATCTTGATAAGGAGGATTGTGGATAAGGCGAGTGTTCTCCCGAAAGCAGGCTACTAACTCGGTCGACCCAGAAGGATCGGCATAGTTTAAGGCGGAAGAAAGATCAAAAGCTGCTTCCCCTATATTGCAAGTCATTGGGTTTCTTGTGTTCGACTCCTTCGTTCCAGTCATTGTCATGGACTGCCAGGGATAGAACAAAGAGGCGGGCCTTCCCACTCCGAGTGGAATTGGTACGGACGTGGTAGCTGTCTTGACAGAATTTTTCAAGGGCGATGCGCCTTGTGATAAGCTCTCGTCACTCAGTCGGTGATCCCATCGATTTGCCAGTCTTTTAGGGGCGCTGAAGTGTGTCTGTCGAATATTAACGGTGTCTCGAACATCTTCAAGCAGAACATCGTGTGCCTTCTCCAATTCCAAGTGCATGGTGGGGGTAAAGACGAATTGTAAAATCCCAGGGAACAAACGGCTCAAGTTATTATGCCAAGGACAGGTGTGTAGGCTTCCTGCAGTTTCAAATGCGTCTATGATTCCATCAAAAACACCTTCGAAAGCCCCTTGCCTGTTGGTCCATGAAAGCTGATATATAACTAGTGCAAAGGAATCAGGCCAAATTATCGCTCAAGAAACTAAAAATTATCTGCACAAGGAAAAGGGAAGCAGAAGAAAGCTGAGAGAGAGGAGGGGGTGGGGCAGAGGCAAATGTTGATCTGGGTTGACAGGGTATCTTTTCATGTCTGCTAATTAGCCGGCCAGCATTTGAACAAACTCGCGCCATCGGGTGTTGGGAAGAATATTTTTAGGGGAGGAGTTGCAAAGTAGGCCGCCCCCAATTTTGCCCACCTCCTTGTTCATGCACGATATGCAGGGTTGTGTTGTGACGCCAAGGGCGCTTCAGATTAAGGCGTCGATCTTATCTAGTTATCCTCCGAGTCTCCATTCCCGAGCTAATTATATCCAAGCGTCAATGACGTCTGATTAAGTGGCTGGCTGATGTGAGGTGGAACTATTCCGTACCTTTCAACGGTTAGCGAGGCCTCAGCCAGCTGTAGCTAACATGTATTATAGGTGTTTCCTCGGGAAAGCTGCCAAATGTCTGGCCCTTCTACGGAGTACTTGACTGTACATTGAGCATGGCTAGCCCCCTTTACACCGTCTGGGCAAAGTCGAGCTCTAAACCGCATTTAACTACGGAGTTAGGGATTCAATTACAGATATGGGTCAAGGCACAAACCCTATTCTAAATGGACTCAAACACGGCAGTATCAAATTGAAACAGCGAAACGGGGAACAGTGGAGGATAATCCCCTTGCTGAGCAAAAAGGCAGTTATTCATTCTATTGTAGGAATATGCTCCGTATACACTGTCGATTAACCCCACTATTGCATTATCTTCTCGTAAATAGCAGGAAGGTCCTTCGCGGGGTCATCATTATCAACCATTCCCAGCCAAGTTCCCGCTGGCTTTTTGAACCCAAGTAGAGTTTGCATCTTTGGGCTCATCTTCAGGACTTTGCTCCGAGGATTGCACAAAAACTGGTTCTCCTCTTGACGGAGAGTCCCTCGGCAGAAGACAAGATTCATAATCTTACGAATCTCTCCCGGAATCGTATTGTATCCAGCTCCATGAGCCATGGTGCTAAGGAAAATGAACGCCGATCCTCTCTCCATTTCTGAATCCACATTAGTTATAATCTAAAAGCCGTATTGCAAAAGATAGGTCTTACCCAAGAAAGAAACTTCATCAGGCCTGCCACGTCTGTCATGCTCCCATTTATGAGAGCCAAGGATGACCATAGTGCCTCCATTCTCGCGGGTAACGTTACTACCCGCAATGAAGCAGCTGAAACCGTCTACTTCATTAATCTTCATGTTCGGATGGTGTTTGCTAGAGAAAACCATGTCATCCCTGTGTAGCGCCTGACGAGGAGAACCATGGCCAACGTGGAAAGCCATGGAAATACTCAGCAACGGGTCAATGACAAGTTCTTCAGTATGCCCTTCAAAGACAGCTGGATATCTCTCCTCCAGGATTATTTTGAGGAGTTGGTCGATTGTCTCATTGGTATCGAGGATGTTGGCCAGGGTGTCGGACTTTGAAATCAAGCCAGCAATGACCAGAGTCTTTTTTCCGATGAAATCGTCGTAGGAATCACTGTCAGGGATAGTTTTCGTGTAGGGTTCCAGTTCTTCATCGATCTTGTCCATAGTCTCTTTTGGCACAAAATCCGTTAAAATAACCCCGCCATCGCGCTCGAGAACCTCTAGAATCTCTTCCAGAGAGGAGGTTGCTGGAATTTTGGTAACGGACCTCGCTGGCTGATAGGAGGCGTCAATCGGCGGCAACAAACGGGCAGCAGCGTACTTTTTGTCCATTTTAGCTGAGACAAGGAGAACTAGTATTGGATTTTGAAGGAGCAATCCAAAGTTGAAATTCGATAGGCGATAAGGAAGAGCGATTCTTGAGCTGTGAAATTTTATGAGGGGATGTGATAAACATGACCAACCAAGGGAATAAATATGCCTGGAGATGCCATTGAGACGTGGAATACTGGGTATTATCCGGTTCGGCGCATGAAATGTGCTCGGATTGGTACGGAATAAAGACGCTTTTCCGTGAAAATCAACTTGTCTTGTCACGGCATAAACATTTGATAAGGGCGGAAAGAATGAGAGTTAGTGACGTGGAAGAGTTGGAGTGCATGTCAAAGTTACCCACCTGCAGACGGGTTTAAAACTTGTCTAGCCGCTCAGTCTTTTAGTGATCAACGAGTTAGTTATCCCCATCGTGTAGAGAACCAGAGTCTAGAACTAACAGCCTGTCAACTGAACACTTGATCCGTAATTTCTGCGGAGTTTTTGAGAGGGTCACGCATAGCCCACTGGGGGCCGAGGTGTGTACTCTGTTGTTTTGGCCGTTTCTCTCAGAGACGAACAAGGTATCGAAGACTTGGGGCATAAACAAGCCCCTTCCGATTGGACAGATAAGTAGTTAGTTATTGACCTTGATGACCACTGGATAAACTTTAAGCTTCAAGAGCTGTCGGACAAACCGGCCTCCACAGCTTGTGCATATACTTTGCCTAGGAGAGGTTACATATGCCCCCTGCATATTTATGTGTCTATGTGTCCATGCACGGCGGCCATTCGATAACAATCGGCATTATAGCTCAGGATCGCTGAGCACAAGCATTGAGTCTGCGTAGCCCATTATGGATAAAACGGCAGTCTCTATAACTAACGTAAACACGTTCCATTCCTCCGATTATACGGCACCTCAAACTCTGAGCCCTTGGTTGTTTCGGGGCGACGAAGCTTCCGGGACTATACCCGACGGATCGCCTTCCTCAGGTGTGATGCATGAGGCGTAAGGACGGGATAATAATGTGTACCAATGCCATGCAAACAACTGGGCGTAAATACGGCTGGGACCTTGTGGATAGCTTGGGTACATCAGCCTTCGGGCGAAAAAAAGTATGAGATATGGATATCCAGAAACAACAGAACGTGGCGCTCTTCACAGTCAAGCCGTCATGTCTTAAAAAAGGGACTCGGGTTTAGCCTGCACTTGCCGTTTAGCCAAAGCAACATGGTTCACCGTCAATGCAGTATGCCCCGTCGGGAATGATATTCTATTAGCCAATCGGTCGAAGGAGCTGAAACCATGGGTTGGCATCTCGCCTACTGTGCGCGAGAAGGTCATCCTCCGCCTTTAAATAGTCATATTAGTCAATTGCACTGAGATCAATATCTGAGATTCTCAAAGAAAAACATCACTTACTAGCCCTAGAAAATAAAGTCATTATCATATAGAATATTTGCTTGCTTTTCCCTGAATTACCGAGATGCTTAATCACAAAAGGACAAGTTCTCTCTCCGACCAGGACTACCAGAGCCTTGTTTATGACTTCAATGCCGCCGAGGACATATCTTTACTTGGTGGTCGTCTGGACCAACTGTTTGAGAAGATTGTGGATACTTTCCCAAAGAACACGGCTCTAATTCATAGAGATACAGAGATGACTTTCTCTGAGCTCAACGAATCTGCAAACATACTCGCTCGAAGCCTCATAAAACGAGGCTTAAAGCATGGCGACTTGGTCGGCCTCGCTGTGTCACGATCTATCGATCTTATCGTGGTCGTCCTAGCTGTTCTCAAGCTGGGTGCTGCATACGTCCCTATTGATCCATTGTTTCCCGCTGAACGCATCAACCAAATGGTCAGTGATGCTGGTCCTAAGCTCATCCTTTTGAGTGGTAGTCCGAGCAAGGGTTTGGCAAGCTGGAAAGATATTTGCATAAGCGTGGACGAGGCAAGGGACAGCTCGATTGTTGATACCACAAATCTGGAAGCCGATATACAACCACATGATTTATCATATGTAATATATACATCTGGTTCAACTGGGAAGCCAAAAGGCGTTGAAATTAGCCATGGGGCTGCTGCCAATTTTCTGAGCTCGCTGCGGAAATATGAGCCAGGTTGCAACGAGCATGATATCTTGCTTGCCATAACGACAATATCCTTTGACATGTCAGCTCTAGAGCTGTTACTGCCGCTTGTTTCGGGCACCACAATGGTCATTGCGGATACCACTGCCGTTAAAAATCCGCGGGAGCTCTTAGAGTTAATGAGGCGGCATCATGTCACTATTTTGCAGGCTACCCCAGCAACTTGGACAATGCTCCTGGAGTCGGGATGGAAAGGAGATCCAAGACTGTCCAAGATCATATGTGGAGGTGAACCTCTCACCCGCCAACTGGCAGACCGTCTGCTTGCCGCTGCTGATTCAGTGTGGAATGTGTACGGACCGTCGGAGACAACCTATGGCAGCGTTGGGAGAGTGGGAGAGGGTGATATTGTCGTGGGGAAACCTGTTGTTAACGGGCGAATTTATGTCCTCGATGACAACTTATCTCCTGCCCCCGTCGGCTGCGAGGGAGAAATATATATCGGCGGCGGCAGCGTCTCGAACGGCTATCGCAACAACACCGAGCTAACACGCGCGCGCTTCCTCGCTAATCCATTCCACGGCGGGTTGTTTTTCCGAACCGGCGACCTCGGCCGTTTTCTGGCGCCTGGAAAGCTGCAAGTTGTGGGCCGCATCGACGGCGTGGTCAAGATCCGCGGCCACCGTATCGATGTTGGCGACATCGAAGCGGTCCTTCTCGACCATGCGAGTGTGTCTGCGGCAGTTGTTATCAGCCATGATGACCGTCTAGTGGCCTACTGTGTATTGGATCGGGCCCTGAGTAGTGATGTTTCGCTTGATACCATTCTACGGCCATGGGTGGCAGAGCGCCTTCCGGCGTATATGCTGCCAGCATTCTTCGTACAAATGGATGCATTGCCGTTATCACCCAATGAAAAGGTCAATCGCAAAGCACTCCCTAACCCACTAGAAGCTATTCAAAGCCAGGCTTCGAAGCAGCCAACCTCCGAGCTGGAGCAACAGTTGCTGGCAATCTGGGCAGATATCCTTGGACACGACCGGTTTGGCATAGAAGATAACTTTTTCAACCTAGGTGGTGATTCTGTACGTATCATCCGCATGCAAACAATATTGGAGAGGCTTCTGCACCGGCCTATACCTACGCCAAAATTATTTGAGCATTACACAATCAAGGAATTGGCTGCGTATCTGACTGGTATTGGCAAGAAAAGTACCAGCAATCAGGAACTCAATACAGCAAACGATAGATTTATTGGCAGTCATGAAGACATTGCAATTGTGTCCATGGCCTGCCGATTGCCTGGTGGCGTGACAACCCCAGAGGAATTCTGGCAGTTACTGCAGAATGGTGGAGACACCATTACCGATGTTCCTAAGGATCGTTGGGACGCTGCTAAACTATACAATTCAAATCCTGATATTGAAGGTACCTCATATTGTACCCGAGGCGGTTTTCTGGACTCGGTTTATTCCTACGATGCATCTTTTTTTGGAATCTCTCCACGTGAGGCGCAGGCCATGGATCCAGCACAAAACCTAATGCTGGAACTGGGATGGGAAAGTTTCGAGCGAGCTGGTTATACAAAGGAAAGGCTGCGAGGCAGTGCAACAGGCGTGTTTATTGGTGTGAGCAACAACGGAACAACGAATAGCACCCCTCCTGACCTCAAGGGATACTCAATTACCGGGAGTGCTAGTGCCGCTATGTCGGGCCGTTTGTCCTATACCCTCGGTTTAGAAGGCCCATCTCTAGTAGTTGATACCGCCTGTTCCTCCTCGTTGGTAGCCACACACTTGGCATGCAATGCTTTGCGCCAGGGTGAGTGTAACATGGCTCTGGTTGGTGGTGTAAGCCTTCTTCTCACACCAGGCATACACGTTGAGTTTAGCAAACTGCGTGGTCTCTCGGCAGATGGTCGGTGCAGGGCCTTTTCCCAGGATACAGATGGCACAGGGTTTAGTGAAGGTGCTACTTCCATCGTGCTGAAGCGTCTGTCTGATGCTCAGCGCGATGGTGATACCATCCATGCTGTATTGCGCGGCACCGCAGTTGTGCATGGCGGCTACAGTGCCGGTCTAACAGTACCCAACAGCCCTGGCCAAGTGAAACTTATCCGTTCAGCCCTGGCGCAAGGTGCAATGAAACCCTGCGAAATTGACTATATTGAAGCTCACGGCACTGCTACTAAACTTGGAGACCCTATTGAGGCAATAGCACTCGCTGAAGTCTTTGGAAATGGGCGCACTAGTTCGGACCCTCTTAGGTTAGGTTCTGCGAAGTCAAATGTTGGGCATACTCAGGCTGCTGCCGGCCTCGTTGGCTTACTAAAAGTGGTTTTATCAATGCGACATAATATCATACCCAAAACCCTACATGTAAACGAACCTACCAGGTCAGTTGACTGGAAAGGGGCCAACATGGAGTTGGTTCTTGCCCCTCAACCATGGCCAGCTAGGGATCACAGACTACGCCGGGCTGGTATAAGTGCATTTGGAATTGGTGGCACCAACGCTCACATCGTCGTTGAAGAGCCCCCTAAGCTTCTCACCAGAAAAAATGGTTGCACTTTGCCCACTTTAGTACCTCGCGCTATTCCGTTCCTGCTCTCTGGGGGCAGTGAATCAGCCCTTAAAGCTCAGGCTGAGAAACTTCGGTTACATATCGACAATGGCATTGGAAAAGAGGACCGCCTAATTGACATTGCTTTCTCACTAGCTACTACTCGTACCCACCTCCAACGCAGACAGGTAGTGGTTTCAAGAGATAAGGCACAGGTACTGGATGCTCTGGCATCTATAAGCTCGAGCTCTGACAAACTTTTCAATGTGAATGAGGTCGGGAAGCCAAAGTTGGGGATGCTTTTCACCGGACAAGGTAGCCAGCGACTAGGGATGGGCAAAGAACTCTATTCCGTCTACCCTGTTTTCCAAACATCGCTAGATAAAATTGCAGGCCTTTTCACGCAACTGGATATCCCTCTACTTGATGTAATGTGGGCCGAACCAGAAAGCACACATGCCTCATTACTCAACAGAACCGACTACACTCAAGCTGCATTGTTCGCTCTTGAGGTTTCTCTCTGGAATTTATGGCAGAGCTGGGGCGTGCAGCCTGACTTTCTACTTGGCCACAGCGTGGGAGAGATTGCAGCAGCTCATGTTTCAGGCATTTTGAACTTGTCTGATGCTTGTCGGTTGGTGGCAATGCGCGGATCTTTGATGCAAGGCCTTCCTAGTCAAGGGAAGATGGCCTCAGTAGAAGCCAGCAGCATCGAGGTTGAAGAAGTGGTGAACGAACTGAGCAAGAGAGACGAAGTTGAGATAGCAGGTTATAATACACCTTCACAAATTGTTATATCTGGGAATTCTGAGGCGGTTGAGGCTGTAACAGCCCATGTTGCTAGGATGGGCCGTAAAACAAAACTGCTCGATACTAGCCATGCTTTCCACTCGGCTCATATGAATGGTATGATGGATGCCTTCAGAGCTGTGACTCAGGATCTCCAATTTGAGACGGCAAAGATACCCATAATCAGCAGCATGACCGGTTCACTAGCTGCAGCTGGTGAACTTCAATGTGCGGAATACTGGGTCCAACAGGCCCGCCGGGCTGTTAGATTTAGTGATGCTTTCCAGGAACTTATTAAACAAGGAGCTAATATTTTCCTTGAGATTGGACCTAGCTCGACCCTTTGTGGACTGGGTGCAGCCTGTGTTTCTGATATTTCTCAAATGAGCAAGGCTTTGTGGCTGCCCTCCCTAAAGCCAAGAGCAGATGAAGTCTCAGTCGTCCAAAATAGCGCACACGAGTTACACATGCGACATGTACCCATCAACTGGGCTGAATATTTTAAACCTTTTGACTGTGAAAGAGTTGGCCTGCCTACTTACGCTTTCCAGCGCGTGTCTTACCAGCCTACAACAAAAGCCAGCTGGCTCAATGGTCTCACACAAAGAAATGACTCTCAAACAGTCGTAAGCGGAGCGGAAAATAAGATGTTTGAAATAAACTGGTGCCAACTCTCTGTGGGCGAAACCTGGCCTCGCGGCATCTGGGGCCTTTTCAATTTGTCTATTGAAACTACATGGGTGATAGCCGCGCATCGAGCTCTGGAAAGCTCCGGAGTTCAGCTGGTTCATATTGCCAAGCTCCAGGATGCTATGCAGCTCGATGGCGTTCTAGTTTTCTGGGACTCTGATGCCGATGTCGTTCAGAAAGCGCACGCCTTCACGGCAGCAGCCCTGGCTCATCTGCAGGAAGCAAGCAATATTGGTTTTGCCGCGCCAATTGTGTGGGTTACTCGGCATGCGGTCGGTGCGGGCGCTGGAGACCAGCCAACTGGGCTCGGGGCCGGGCCGCTGTGGGGCCTGATGCGGACCACGAGAAGCGAGCACCCCGAACTGCATCTTAGACTAGTCGACGTGGATGACGAGATAAGCCTGGCTGCCCTTGGAGCGGCGCTGGCAGCGGATAGTCAGACAGAAATCTCTATTCGCAAGGGACAGCTACTTGTACCGCATCTGGAACGCACTAACTTGGCCTCAGCACCCGCTGGAAAGCCACTACTCCGAACAGATGGCGCAGTTCTAGTTACTGGAGGCCTTGGTGATCTTGGAAAACGCGTATCCCACAGGCTGGCCAGTTGCCATGGAGTCCGTGATTTAGTCCTGTTGTCTCGGACTGGTAAGGTATCTGCTAGAGCCGACGCATTTGTTGTTGAACTTAGCAAATTGGGTGCCAGCGTTACCATAGCTCGCTGTGATGTTTCGGATCTTGACAGCCTTAGAATTTTTATGCAGAAGTTTACTGCCGATAGACCTCTACGAGGCGTGATTCACGCAGCTGGAGTGGTTGACTCAGGCGTTTTATCATCCTTAACTCCCGAAAAATGCGCCACAACATTTGCACCCAAAGTAGATGGCCTCTGGAACCTACATCAATTAACAAAGGATATGGATCTGGATATCTTCATGATGTTCTCATCTATCTCTGGTATCATGGGCTTACCCGGACTTGGAAACTATGCTGCTGCTAATTCTTTTATTGATACCCTCTCTTACCTGCGACGTTCTCAGGGCTTGCCTGCTACCTCAGTGGCATATGGTGTCTGGGGTGGAGATGGCATGGCAACTACTCTCGTATCAACAACTCGTAACCATCTCTCGCAGCTTGGGCTAGGCTTTCTAGAACCAGAGGACGGACTGAAGCTGTTTGAGCAAGGAGTTCGATGTGGAAAACCACTCACCATAGCCGCTGTTCTGGACTTGGAACGGCTTAAATCTTACTATGGAGAACAGGGTGGTATACCCCCGCTCCTACGCTCAATCTTGGGGGAACAGAATGACAAATTGGCGGTTAATACCGACATGAATCTACGCGACTTGTTATCAAATGCTGCTCCTGCGCAACACGGGAGGATTGTGCTCCACATTGTTCGAAAAGCCATAGGTAAAGCACTGGGATATGCTCAGATGGATGAAATAGACCCCAGTCAGCCCCTAAAGGAACTAGGAATTGATTCCTTAACCGCTATTTTGGTCCGCAATCATCTAGCAACTCTGACCGGCATGACGTTACCACCGAACGTCGCACTTCTTCGCCCAAATCTCAAGTCACTTGGCGAATTCATCCTATCCCTTTTTCGAGACAGTACTGACATTGGCTCAACATCCTCGCCAAAGGCCAATGGCGCCTCCAGATCTAATGGCGTCTCAAGCTCTAATGGCACTCCAAAGACTAATACCGCTAATGGCACCAGCACTAATGGCATCCATGGCACCAATGGCACACCAGATTCCAACGGTGTGTCACATACTAATGGCATATCCAAATCCAACGCCGAGGCCAAGGCAAATGGTGGGATGAAGGCCAACGGCTCGGCAGCAAAATCTGTTCCTCATGTCGATATGGCAGCTATTAAAAGGGGTGTGCTAGATCGAAGCTTCCAATTTGAAAACATAACAAAACACCCCCTTTCCTGTTTAAATACCCCGAAAGCTGTGTTTGTGACAGGACCAACAGGGTTTGTTGGTGCGTTCATGGTTCACGAACTCCTCAAAAGAGGCATAGCTGTATACTGTCTTATACGCTCTAGTAACCTAGATCAAGCTCAAGAACGCATGACGCAAACACTACGGGAATATGGTCTTTGGAAACCGGAGTATGCATCGTTGATTCACCCAATCATTGGCGATCTCTCTCAACCACTGCTTGGCCTTCACGAGGATATGTTTGATGAGCTAGCTGATGTAGTCGATGCAATAATTCATTCAGGAGCTCTTGTGGATTGGATGCGTCCTTTGGAAGACTATATTGGTCCCAATATTCTGGGTACCCATGAAATTTTGCGTCTTGCTTCTCATGGACGTGGGAAGGCAGTCCATTTTGTCTCAACAATTTCCACACTGCCCATTCACTTAGGTTATGGTCTTACTGAACTTGATGGAGAATATGGCTATGGTACTTCAAAATATCTTGCTGAGAGAATGATTGTGGCCGCTCGTTTCCGCGGAGCGGTAGCTTCTTCTTATCGCCTGCCATTTGTCGCTGCTTCAGGTGCTAATGGCCGCTTCCGTCTTGATCGTGGCGACTTTTTGAATAATCTTGCTATGGGGAGCCTTGACTTGGGAGCTTTTCCATCCTTAAATACCACGTTGTCCAGCGTTCTCCCGGTCGATTATCTATGCAGCACTATTGCCATGATTATGACTGAGGACCAGGGGCGCATTGGTGAAGACTACGACTTTGTGAATCCGCGCGCGCCCACTTTTGACACCTTCTTCGGGATTATGGGTGCTGCCAGTGGTAATCTGGAAGTACTCCCTTTCAGTCAATGGCATCGTCGCGCCCTTGAGTATGCAGCACTCAACCCGAAGAGCCCCTTAGCCCGTATCACCACTGTTCTCGATGGCTATACAGACGAGACCGCCGGAGATTTGCTAAAGGGAAGCCCTGTTGGCAAGCACGTCTTCGGGTTGGATGTATATCCAGCCCCGTTGATTGGTGAAGAATACATACATAAATACCTGGATGCAATCAATTCTACAAGACAAATTGGTGGCTATGAGTAAAAAAAAAAAAGTAAAATAGATTGATAGACTAGGATATTATGCACATCTCGGTTACCCAATCAATATTTTAACTTCCATCGCGCCGCACCGGTATCAGGGGATTAATGGGTAGAAGCCGGTCATCGTCACCGTTTTCATAAGTATGATCATGTTTATCCTATCTAGATGTGCCCAGCTCTTTGTCTTTTTTGGCATCCAGATTTAACCTACAGACACATATGTACGTAACATGCCTAGTTCATGTTAGGGTCGTAAACAGTAACTGCATCTTTCTTGACCCTCATCCTTTGGCTCTTTCCATAATCTCCACCACTCTCCACAGGATCGTTTTCATTCTCCCACTCCCACCACTTCAAAGTCCTCCATTTAGGGCGTAAGACGCACATAACCTGCCCCTTTATCAAACCCATAGATATAGGGCCATAGGTATTGCTGTCAAACGACAAGTCGGGATCAGTTGCGTCACCTTCGACCCAAACATGATTCCAGGGAACAATCTGGGTTTTTTGGTCTCCCTCTCCAGACTTCGGCGGTCGTGTGGTGACAACATCGCCCGGTAGGGCTATGATACGTTTCACAGACAATTTGCTTGGTTCAGTTCTAGAGCTAGATCCGCGCAACGATCTAAATGTAATATCGATCGATTAGCATCAAATAGTTGGAATACAGGTAATTAGGGGGATACTAACGGAAATACCACCACCATTCCTCTTTTTAAATGCAGCTTTGTGGCATATGTGACGTCCACCAGCACCATCTCGCTATCGATATTGTCGATATTGTAGCCCTTATTTAAATATGGTGACATAGATGCACCGCTGATCCATTTGACATCCAAAACATGTTCGCGGAAAACTATGAAGAGAGCTAACCCCTGGATTGTGAATAAAAATGTGTCGAGTGCAGCATTTCTGCCAAACGAATATCGTGAGCGACCCCGCGGTCCATCCGTGTTATTCGTAATATTATTGCCATGGTGCTGAGTTTTGGAATCATTACTGCTAGATGCAGCTGTTGAACATCGTTTGTGTACCGAATTGAGCCTGGATATATGCGATTTTAACCTGGGAGGAGCTGCGTTTGGGTGCGACAATCGATGGATAATACCAGGGTTTGGTTTCTTCAGGATCAATCGGGAAAGGCGAGAGGCCGATGGTATAAAGAATCCATTCAATAGTGATAACATGAGTAGAGGAAAAACCCCTGTTCTGGAGGCCTGTTGCTATATCTCATGCTCTTTGATCGTGGTTTGTACCTATTTTGGGCTGGGAATTTCTGCAGGTGAGGTTGCCCAGATCAGATAAGATAAGAAGGTCTTGGCATCAGGATGCAACCTTGAAATTCAATCTTGACTGCAAGTTGTCAACCTCACATCTGCAAGTTCATGTGAGATACCATCTATACCCAGAATACCCCATGTATACATTTAATCAAGGCTTTTAGTGGAATTATGGATACAGGCTAGGAGAATACATGTCCTATTTATTGTATACCGTTTACGAAAATTGCCAATAAAGTCCGCCGGTCAAAATCGATCTAACTTCAGCTATCTATCATGTTTATTATAAGGTATAGAGGAGCCTTACTGTATAAATTTATGGATTACTTCTATATATTACTTTATAGAAGGATCATGATTTAAGTTATTAAAGAATGGAAGTATGTCATGCTAAATTGCAAGGGCTGCTATTCACATTGTTATCACGTAAGCTACAAGCCTTACTGAGAGGACAAAACTTCAAACTCACCTTTGTTGCATTGTTACCTCTGCCTACACTAATGACTCAGGTACAATATTCACTCCCACATATAGTGCTGCATAGAAGTACTTAAACTGTTATTACCTATACCTGCCCCCCTAGATCCCACACTCTTGTGTAGTAGGTTTTTTACTCTACTTGCCTTAGAGTGGTGAATTTAAGGCAGCAGTTCGCGTTAAATCATCTTCATGTAAGTATTATCTATTTTTCTCTTATCCTTTTTCTAAAAACGCGTCAACATTTATCCTTTGACTGACTATATTTATAGGATTATCGATGGCTCTTATTTGCAACAAAGTTACCACAGCTAGCGGAGCCACTCTAATGAGTCTCTCTACTGAGCTTCTGTGCATGGTTGCTGCAGAGCTTGGTATGTCTGACGTGGGTCGACTGGTCCGTTGTAACAAACGACTTAACGTTACAATCACTCCGTTTTTATATCGATTCAAGGTCAAGCCTTATTTGTGGAAAAAGATGGCTGATATAAAACCTGGACAATACGCATATAAGTCCCCAGTAGCAACATGGGAAACCGCCCGCATGACCAGCATGCTTGTCACTGATACCCCCCTCGAATGGGCTGCCGTGATGAACCTGGGTAATGCTATCACCAGAATGATAGGACCTAGGCCGGACCGAAAATTTTTTGTGGACATGCATTTTGGACACGCTTTGGAGTTGGCATCAATGGTTGGCAGTGCAGCTGCTTTGAAATCACTTGCAGCCACTCACACTGGGAGATGGCCTAGGGGGAAATGGGGTTATTATCCCATGCATCAGGCGGCTTTCAACGATCATATTGACGCTATTCAGGTTCTACTTGATGCTGGTTGTCCCATAAATAAGTTTGATGACCGTCATATGACTCCTCTTGCCGTGGCTATAGCTCGCAAGAAGATCGCTACTGCGGGATTTCTCCTGGAAAAGGGGGCTCGGAGAACCAAACTCTGCCGTGATGCCCAACTTGCGCTAGCTACACTACTTGGAGAACCGCTACCTGATCAAGAGAGCGATAAGGCTACCAACTAAGTGAAAGATGCATCCGCGTATGTATACCCCGAAATGGGCGTCCATCAATGGTGTCTCCAGGAATTTCACGACTAAACGCTAATTCTCAACGTAGTACGGAGTACCTCTACAATACTAATTCTCATATGAGAGAAGTCGAATCTCGCAACAACCTGTCCTCTTTTGACCTCCAGATACCCGGCCTTTTCCTTTTCATGTACTCGTTAATTTATTTACAGAAACGAGGTTATCCACAGAATACCGAGCACATTATGTACTGCCACCCTTTTACCTGTGAAATATGAAAGTTAAATCCCACTTAGGCCAGTCACATCTAGTCATGGAGGTTCAAATCTGTATCTCAGCATTCATCTGTGTGTGAGAGCCATGGTTAAAAATTAGCAGGACTTCACATTTCCTATTATTCCTATTTGCCATATGTAATTCTTGCTACAGAGCTCTAACTGCATCGCACTTCAACGCTCTATGAAGGCATCTCATTCGATCACGTACCAGACTCAATATGTACGGACGGAATACGTAAAAAGAAAAGTAATATTCTGATCAGCTCCCTGTGTCAAGTGTTCTCCCTTCCATTGACTTCCGCATATCGAAGATCAACCAGCCGATCCAACCTCGGGATGTACCCCCGCCTTTTCTTCTTTCCTTTTTTCCCTTGACCCAGAGAAAGGAAACATAAATAATCTTCAGCCTGAAGGATGATGTACCACTACAACCCAGCCTGTATCGAAATATATACGCTACATAGCACGTAGCACAGCGCTGAAGTTTACTTCGCGGCAGGAAAGTCATCCAGCACCCCGTAGCCTTCAGGAAAGCATGCTAATCAATATCCAGAATCGTGTCGAACTGCATCAAGGTTTCTGCTCTCACACAAGCAATTATGTTTTTCGCTGGGTATCCATTTTGATCGCAACCTAAAGCTGATCAATCGAGGAACTAGATGCCTCGTCGCTCACTAAGAGAAAGCTCCGAGCGAATATTGCACTAGGGGTCTGTCCTCTTGCAGCCTTTATGGACAACAAGGGTGATCATAAAAGAATGTGCACTGATCCCCAATTTTTGTTGCTACTTATAGCGATACAGCCTCCCGCCATATGCTTGGGTGCACCTTCGATGGGATGGCATCGAGCCACAATCGATAATCTCATGTTCAAACAAAAAAAGAAAATATAATGGTCCCAAGAGATAGTAGAATGATGCATGTAACAACAACCGTATCATGCGCTGTGTAACTTCGCAACTGTAGTGGAACTGGGGAAGTGAAGACTTGTATGTATGCGATGTCGTTGTCTTACAGACAGCCATTGCCTTTTAAAACGGGAGCCGCATCCATGTATCATATGTAATAAACGAGACGTATTTCTTGCGCTTGGGTAGTCCAAATTGATAGTGTCAATAAGCGTAAAAAAACTTTCTTCACCGCCCATGAGTCTGTGCCAACGGCGCCTAGGATATTTCGAGGGTTCGATGCATGGTATATCACCAGAACAATGCCAACTTGGTTAAGGGATACAGTATGGTATTGGCCGGAGGATTTGGCCTCCTTGACACACCTAACTATTGAATCCATCATATTCCCCGGGGATTGGTTCAGCTTGCTTGTCTGCGGCTGTGAGGGCGTGCCATCCCAGCTGAATTTGCCCGAAGGAGCACGGCTGATGCAGGGCAAACCGATCAGAAATGCCTGGAAAGGAGACAGAAATCCAATGAGTCCGGGCTCAGGTGAAAGGCCTATTGGACAGACCTTAGGCTCTGACGCTGCAGCTAAACGTCAAACTGAGCATTGATTCAGGCATCATGTACTCCGTATTTCATATGGGTTGAAGAAAAAAGCCTTACATATCTCGTCTGAATAAACTGCAACATCACAAACGGCAGAGACTGTCGGGATGGCCGAGTCTGAAATATGCAGGAAGGCAGGGAGAACTACATGGCTTGAGAAGAGGTTTCCCCATCGACATACGGACGATATTTTGTAGACCTCGGTTGATTGCAATGAGAAAAATATCAGTCTTGATAGCCACGGAAATCGCCGTGAACAGGCTCGTTGCTCATGGATATGGATGGATATGGACCTTCCATGGGAAGACTAGCTGCAAATCCTGAGCTGTGGCCGGCGACCTAACCGATAGGCATTCCGCAAATAATGCGAACCCGCCACTCCACCGTCGGCAGCTGGATTTCTTTCGTGGGAGAGCTTCTTCTCTCGATACGCCAATTATGAAACGAGAACACCTACCAGAAAGATCATAGAAGCCATATCGTACGGATACCACTAACGAAGCAATAAGTGATGAGCTTTTAAGGTCTCCACCAGCTGAGCTACTTAGATAATACCCAAATTCCTCGGGAGTGCTGGAAGCATGTGTTAAAAGGTTAAGAAAAGAGTGTGAGAAAAAGGGGGGAAGGGGGGGTCTGGTCCAAGCAAGTTGAATCGAAGAACCGGCGGAGTTTAAGACAAACAAAATCCAATACAAAAAATAGAAAATGGGGGGAAATAAAATTCAACTGGAGAAGATATGAATATCACCAGTGATATGCCGAAAAAAGCGTATGCAATGAAGCTTGCCTTTTTAGGGAAAGTCTTGCCTAGCCAGAACTTGTCGCCACGAGTGCAGGGTAAATTGATCCAATATCAGCGCCCGCAGGCAAGATTGGTTGAATCGTGTTCCCAAAGAAGAAAAGGAGGGAAACAGAATCGCCTGCCTCGGTCGATGGCTAAGAGCCTAGGAAAGCTTCGCCAGTAGGTCTAGCCGAACATGCTCTAAGGCCTGAGAGGTCATAACTGCTTCGAGATATAACTATAGTGTTAGTACTGTAAGGTCTGTTTTATTATCAGGGAAGGCTAATTCCCCACTCAATATGGAGCTGTTGGCATCTTAGTGCGCACTCAGTCTGCCACCTCTTCACGCCCTGTCACCTCATCCTTGTAAAAAAGTGGCCTTTTCCCGGAGATGAAGGGTAAGGAAGCGCCAGTACGGAGTATAGTGCCAGTGTCAACGGCCAGTTTCTAACTTTCGGGAAAAGATGTGTTAAACAACTTCAGCCACGCATCACGATCCACAAGCCAGTCGGTGGGCCGTTTATTGTGGGGGAAAGCTCCTCCCGATTTTTGTAGCTGGTGAGTGATTGAAATTCCGCGTTTTCAAAAGCTTTTTATATGTTTATTATTGTTACTAAATTTTTTTGTCGGCTTCTTCCTCCGCTATAGAACTCTGTTGTTATTATACGATTTATCCGATAGAAAAGGGGGTTGGTACCTATACCATTTGCTATGTGCGGAGTATAGTTGTCCATGTAATCAACAACTGAGCAGGGTTTCAGACGAGAATAAAAGCTTCTTCACAGTGAGAAGACGTTTTCTATTCCTGCCTTTTGAGATCCATCAGATCTG